GTGAATTTGAAATTAAGTTGTTTTAGACTAAAATTTGTATATTAAATTAATTTATTTATTATGTATTATATTAAAATTAATTATTTTTAAATTAAGAATTTTTATATGAGCGCTACCAAGAGAAAACCTGTAATTGGGCTTTTAATTATATTTTGTACCAGACATATCCCCTAAGAATTAAATGGATTTTGTCTGGTACAAAATATAATTGAAAGCCTGATTACAAGTTTTCTCTTGGCGGCACTCATATACCATATGTATGCATGTATATATTTTTTGATTTTAATTCTACCGTATTTTACCGATAATAAGCACCCCCTCGGAAGAATTTTCATAACCAAAACTCTTGTGATCTAATGATTGAATCAGGGTGATTTTGGTACCATTCAAATCAACTTATCAAGGTGATTCGAATGATACCAAAATCACGCTGATCCAATCATTAGATCACGAGAATTTTGGTTATGAAAATTCTTCCGAGGGGGTGCTTATTATCGGTAAAATACGGTAATTTGGTTATTATTTTGGAGGTTATCTTTATTATAGATTTTTCAATTTTTTGTAATACTTGATTTTATTATTTTTGTTATTAACTTTTTAATAGTTATAAAATATATGAAGAAAAATATTATAAAAAAAATAATTAAATAAATATAAAAATTAAATATGTTTTATAAAACTAAGTTACTAAAATAGTATTAAAAATTTTGTATATAATAAATAAAGAATTATTATAAAACACACCGCACCTATGGTGTTTTAGCACCTATATATAATTGCTTCTAATCTATATCTTTAATTCTGAGTTTGTGCATTTTAACGTTTTTGATTAGGTGTACCTGAACATCATGATTTAATTCTGAGTTTGTGTGTTTTAACGTTTTTGATTTATCTATCTCTATACCCTAATTCAGAGTTTGTACATTTTAGCATTCATCGCTACATAATAAATACGTAGTATTATCCCGGATGGATTTATCAATGACAAATATACTATTGCGACACTCTTGATCGTCTGCATGATTGTCAAATTTGGGATCGTCTAGATATACGTATAGTCAACACATGAATTTTAATTTACAACATTTCTGTAATAATTGCATAATTATTAAATTTGTAATTATTGCGATATTTCCGTTTACATAATTAATATAATAATAATAATAATAATAATATAAAAAAAAACATTATTTTTATATACATTCATCATAATGACAAGTTATAATGACTACTTTGAATTTTGGGTTTGCACTTAACCATTTTTGATTAGCAACATTCAAAAACGTGATCAAATTGTGGGAAAATTTTTGATCAGCATAATGATTCTTATTTAAAAAATTGTAATTATAAATAATTTTTAATTCTTTTATTTTAACAAGAGAATATACAATTAACTATAATTTCAAATAAATTACCAGGGTGAGTACAAAGTTTAATTCGATTTGCTTTAATGATTGTATTTCAAGACATTGATTAACCATAATTATTTAATCGTTCAATAAATTACAAAGGTGAGTATGAAGTTTAATTCGATTCACTTTAACGATTGTGCTTCAAGAGAATGTATGATTATCCATAATCATTTAATTGTTCAAATAAATTACCAGAGTGAGTATAAGTTTAATTTGATTCACTTTAACGAATATGTTTCAAGACATTGATTAATTGTAATCATTTAATCATTAAATAAAATACCAGGGTGAAATTTAATTTGATTTGCTTTAATGATTGTGGTTCAAGAAAAAAATTAATTGCAATCATTCAATCATTTAAATAAATTACCAGGGTGAGAACGAGTTTAGTTCGATTCGCTTTAATAATCGTATTTCAAGACATCAATTAACCATGATTATTCAATTGTTCAAATAAATTACAAGGGTAAGTACAAAGTTTAATTGATTCGCTTTAACAATTATGCTTTAAAACATTGATTAATCATTCAAATAAATTACCAGGGTGAGAATGAAATTTAATTCGATTCACTTTAATGGTTGCATTTCAAGAGAATGTGTGATTAACCGTAATCATTCAATTGTTCAAATGAATTACCAGGGTGAGTACAAAGATTAATTTGATTCGCTTTAACATTTGTTTTTCAAGAGAACGTGCGATTAACCATAATCATTCAATCATTTAAATAAATTGCCAGGGTGAGAACGAAGTTTAATTCAATTTACTTTAACAATTGTATTTCAAGAGAATGTATGATTCACTATAATCATTTAATTGTTTAAAAAAATCACCAGAGTGAGTACAAAGTTTAAATTGATATGCTTTAATGATTGTGTTTTAAAACATTGATTAACTATAATCATTCAATCATTCAATAAATTACAAAGTGAGTACAAAGTTAATTAAATTGATTGTGTTTCAAGAGAACATGTGATTAACCATAACTATTCAATCACTCAATAAATTACTAGGAGAGTATGAAATTTAATTCAATTCACCTTAATGATTGTGTTTCAAGAAAACATGTGATTAACTGTGATCATTTAATCGTTCAAATAAATTACCAAGGTAGGTATGAAGTTAAATTTGATTCACTTTAACGATTGTGTTTCAAGACATTGATTAACTATAATCATTCAATCTTTCAAATAAATTACCAGTGAGTACAAAATTTAATTCAATTCGCTTTAACGATTGTATTTCAAGAGACGTGTGATCAACCTAATCATTTAATTGTTCAAATAAATTACCAGAGCAAATATGAAGTTTAATTCGATTCACTTTAATGATTGTGTTTCAAGACAGTGATTAATCGTAATCATTCAAACGTTCAATAGATTACTGGGGTGAGAACAAAGTTTAATTCGATTCGCTTTAACAATTGTGCTTCAAGATTAACTGTAATCATTTAAACATTCAAATAATTACCAGTGTGAGTATGAAGTTTAATTCAATTCGCTCTAATAATTGTATTATATAACATTGATTAACCATAATTATTCAATCGTTCAATAAATTACCAAGGTGAATATGAAGTTTAATTCTATTCACCTTAATGATTGTGTTTCAAAAGAACGTGTGATTAACTATAATAATAATTCTAATGCAATAAACTCAACTACGACTACATACCATAATCATCGAATAGCAAGTTCTATAATAGAAATTTTTACTTTGAATTATAATAAAAATTGACAATCTTAACTGTAACCACATTAATAAATAATTCCGATTAACTTATTAAAATTTAATTGCATATCACACATATTGCAATAAATAACAAATACTGTAAAGAATCTTTAACAAAAATTGATTAAACAAATAAGATAGGTGGCGCTTGCGCGCCACCCGTTGCACTAGTAAAATTTAGGGTTAGAGTTAGGAAATTAAGAATTATTTTATTTCTATATAATATAATATAGAGCTAATATAAGAGCCCAATCACAGTTCTTATGAGGTTTTTGGGGTCCTGAACATTTTTACTTAGAAGACCTAATCTCGTTTACTTAGTGCATTTTTGAGAAATAGGGTCTATGGTGTAAAACACCATAGATGCGTTTTAGTAAAAGTCATAAATAAATATTTTATAGTATTTAATTTTATATAAAAATAGTTTTTATTTATTACCAATTATGTATATCATTAACAGCTATTAATATTATAAATTAATACTATCTTGTACTGATAAAAATTGTGTTTCATTTATTTCATTATTTTCATCATCCTTATTTTTATTATCATCATTATTATCATCTTCTATAAGTTCTTTTAAATCATTATCATTACTTTCTAATCTTTCTACAAATGATTTTACATTATCAAAAATTTCTTTTTTATAATATTGTAAACAATATTCACATCTATTATGGTTTTTTTTATAACAATCTAAATAATATACATGTCCACATATTAAAATAATTTCATTTCCTTCTATAGTTTCAACAAGATTTTTTTTACAAGCATCACATTGATTTAATGTAGGTGGAAATGATGAATGATATCCAGCAGGAAGATTTCTAATATCTACCGATAGTTGAAGAGCTGATAATATAAATTTTTTGTTCTTATTTTTAAAAAATTTAGTTGTTCCAATATTATTATAAATAGAATGAAAATTTTCTAATAAAAAAATTAATGTTTTTTGAATTAATCTATCTAAAGTTGAAGATGAATATGAATATTTTTATAAAAATTTATAAAAGAATAATTATGATGATTTAATATAAATGTTTGTTTTTGTATATTATCTACTGAATCCTTTGAAGTTGTATTTGCTTAAATTTTGCTATGAATATTTTCAACAAAATAATCATTAAAATTTACAAGATAAGATTTTAATGATTTACTAAATAGATAATTTGTATCTTTCTAATAAAAATAATGCCAAAGGTGCTTTGTTATAATTTTTCTATTCCATCTTAGTGCAAATGTCCAAATTCGAAAAATTGTTTCTATATATTCTTCAAATGATCCAGATCTAAAAATAATAGCATATATATCCAAAGCTGCTAGAATTAAATTATCTAAAAGATTAATAAGCATTCTATATTCTATATCTTTACATAATTTTAGAAATTTTAAAATAATTATATTACTAATTTTTTTCTAACTTTCACTTGCTAATTCTAAACGAATATTAATTTTATAAGGTTAAGGATTTTTAGCAAATGTTTTTTCTTTAATCCAAAGACAAATTTATATAATTTGTTAAAAAATTCATAATGAACTATTAAAATATGTTGTCTTGTATTTAAAGAAATATGTAAAGGTCCTAAAATTGGAATAAAATTTTTAATATTTGTTGGAATAGTAATTTGATAATTTGGATTATTTTTTTGAAAATCTAATTCTTTTTGTAATAAAGTAATAGCTTTTCAAATATATAATTGTCCTGGCCAACTGGTAAAATATTTTGATTTAAATATTTATATAATGATGGTATTTGTGTTATTATTCAAAGTGCTTTAATATAATCTGTTATTGATTTTAATCTATATTCTTCAATATTAATAATTTGAATATTTTTTGTTGATCTTTCATCTTTTCGTTTACAAAATTGCATCATTATAAATATGAATTGTAAGAAGTTCTATTTGATCAAAATGTTGAAATTTTTGAATATTTTAATTAGTCCAATGAAATTTTCGAGCATTATAACTTATATCAAAATTTCCATTATATTTTCTAAGTAAATATTTGTTAATTAAGCTTGCATCAATATTAAGAGGATTAAAAAATGAAATATCATTAAATATTGCTGGAATTGGTATACTATTTTTAATCCTTTTTGCTATACACATAGCCATATGATATACGTTTGTTAATGATGTTATATCTGATTTTTTATAAGAATGAATTGAATGATAATCATCAATATTAAAAACATGCATAGCATTTTGCTAAATAAATAGATAAATTAAATTAATAAATTAAAATAAAAAATATTTATATACAATATATTAAAAATATTATTATAAAATTTTAATAATAATAATTTTTAAGAAATATTATATTCATAATACTGTGTTATCATAACACCCTATATATTTTTTATTTGAGTTAGATTAGGGTTAGGGTATAGCTTTAATATATATAGGAGTTTTTTTATATAATATAATATATACTAGATATAAGGTTTTGATTTTAGTTCTCATGAGGTTTTCATGGGTTCTGAGCATTTTTACTTAAAGTACCTGATCCCATTTACTTAGTACGTTTTTGAGATATAGCATAGGATTAGTATAGGTGTTATATAACACGGTGTTATGAATATAACTTTCCTATTTTTAATTATTAATTTATTTTAAATAAATTAATAAATTAAAAATTATATATTAAATTATTAATAATAATTTTAAATATATATAATAGATTATAATAAAAATACTACTCACATAAAATGTAAAATAATTAGAAATTTTTGCCATATGTTCTTTTGCTATTTTTTTTTTATAATCATCAATTGTTTTATAACATGCTAAACTTTTAAGATTTGCTAATGTATCTATTGCAGAACTACTACATCCAGATGCTAATAAATAAAGACCAATTTCTATTTTTAATTTATTTGCAAATTTGTTTCGAGCTCTAGCAAGAAGATAACAAAATCCAACTACAACTTTTTTATCATTTTCTCTAGTTTGATAATCTCTATTTTTGGACTTTATAGTATTAAAAATTGTATCAAAAAATCTATCAAGTTGAAAATGAGATTTTGCAATTAATTCTGAAAATTTTTTAGGATCTAATTCTATTGGATTATTAAATCTTCTTTGCTCTTTAAAAAGAATTTTTGAAAGTAAATCAATTTTATTTTCAAAATCTAAAATAATAATAATAATTTTATTAGTATTAAAAAAAATAATTAAAAAATTTTACTAGGTGTTAAAGTATTTAAATCTACATTGTTATTTAATTTTTGATTAATTTCTGCTTGAAATATTTCCAATTGATTTATTCTATTAATAAATTTTGTAAAATCATCTTTATTTAAAATAACTTTGTTATTTGAAATATTAATTATAATATCTTTCCACTTATTATTAATAACCTCTAAAAGTGTATAAACTTCATAAAATTTTTTATTAGTAATAAATTTAGCTAATTTTTCTTTCTTATTTCTATCAGGCTCAACAATTTTCATATAATGCATATGACATAATTGATCATCTTCTTTTAAATAATTATACTAATTAAATGTATTTTTTGTAATTGATTTTTTCATTGCTTTTGCAGTAAATTTATAATAACAAGTAATATTATCATTATTACAATCTGTAACTTGGCAAGGACCTTTGTTTTGTTCTTAAGACATTTTAAAAAAATTTTAAAAAAATTTTAAAAAAATTATAAATTTAATCAATAAAAAAATTTTAAAATTTTATTTATTTTTATAGTATTTATATATTTGTTTAATCACTTATGTAACTTATACATTTATTTCACTTATATATTATTTATTTGTTTATACATTTATTTATTTATTCTTTATATATATATTTATTTATTTGCTTATATATTTATTTATAAATTCTTTATACATTTATTTATTTGCTTATATATTTATTTATTATTTGCTTATATATTTTATTTATTAATTTACACAATCATTTGAGGGATAGCTACTGTACATTCTAAGATACTGCTAATCATGATATGTAAGTTCTATTATTGTTATATACAATATCCTAATAAATAATAAAACTTTCCTTTTATAGACTCTATGAATAATCAATGTTATTTATAGCACAGTAATGCCAAAAATAATAAAGCATTTATGTTTTTAATAGATCGGAGACAGATGTTTAATTAGGCTGTTCTTAAGTGTCTAAATCAATTGATTAGAAAATAATCGTGATGATACACAAAGCATCACAATTGATGATGATATTTATATAATCAAATGCTAAGCATACTTTTTCTGTTTTCTATAATGTTCGCTATACTACTGATTAACTATTAAAGTTTCAACTTTAGTTACATTGGCTCCTCTTTTTAATGATTTTAATAATTTAAATTTCTTTACTATCTGTCAAATATAAAAAACATATACCCAAGCCTTTTAGTTTTAGGCTTTATTTTAAATTTAAATAAGCAAAAAATAGAATAACAGCATTTATTAAAGTTAAAAAATAGATTGTATCTATTACATTTGTATTAAGATATCGATTATTTATTTTGAAAGCTTTGAATAATAAACTACATAAAGTAGCTATCTTTTTATACCAGTTATAATTCATTGAGAATTAATTGTTTATTATATTTGATATATAAAAAACATAAAAGTAATACTTGAGCGACCTTTTAATTAAAAATTAAATATTTTAATAAATAAAACTTGAAGGTATATACCATCTTAGATTGCTCTAATCAAATAAATTTAGAATTTGCATTTTGCACAATGAATTTTAACAAGTTGTCCTTTATTAACTACTCAATTATTACAATAATTTGAGTAACATCTTGACTACTAGCTAATTATATTAATTCATAAGTTGATTCTAGTGTTGTGGTCAGAATAAGTTTTAAATAATCAGCATTAATTTCATTTTTAAAAAATAATAAAGTGGGTGCTTGAAAACATTCTTACCATATAAGCACAAAATATTGTGCTAATTAATTAATCTGCGCATTTGAATACTCTAATGTATATTGATTATATTATGTGCTACATATAGTAGGATGCGTGTTAATTCAAGATGCCCATGAGCACTAATTCAAGACCATATAAGTTTTTTTTTTGAAGGACCCAATTTTCCATAAGCATTATTTCATACTTATATGGTAGTTAAATTTCTTAATGCAAAGCATAGACTTTCACAGTGGAAATATTTTGCATAAAACATTAGCCATCTTACAACTTAGATCTAAAGTTTAAAAAGACAAACAGATTAATACCTCAAACTTAAAGTTCTAACACTGTCTTTTGTTATTGTACAGTTTTTTTTTTATAAATATATAAAGATCCTAAATTTTCAGTTTTTAAAGTTAATATTAAATTTTATTTTTCAAAAGAAACTTGTTTAAATGTACGTAAAGGTTTGAAATTTGCTAGCAATTTATCAGGAGAATTAAATAAGTGCAAATCTGCAAAAACCTGCGAAAATGCAGATTTTTGCAGAATTTTTTGCAAAAAACTGCAAAATTTTTTATATATTGAAATTTTGCGCAGAACTGTATTTAACTTCTGTAGCTATAGCTGGTGAGTCTGAAGTTTTGCACAGATTGTCATTTAATTTATTATTAATTTTTTTGTAAATCTGCGCAGAACAGCACTAAAAAATTTCTCCTAATGTTATTTAGTAACGATAAATAAATTAACCAATCAAAAATAATTCATGCTATATGATCTGAGATATAATCGATGCTTTATCCAAGGTATGATCAACATACAATTCGAGGTAGATCAACAGCCATTCAAATGAACTTCTGCTATGCTAAATAGAGCTGTTTTGCATGCTGAGTATGGGACTTGTTTTAGAATTAGTCTAAACTTCTTTCTACATTCTAATTCTTCTGTATCAAATTTTCTACTTGTAAGTCTGCTTGTTTTCTTCCTCAAATAGAATGCCCATACTATACATAGCAAATATTTTTTCTCCTTATTTATACATATAACTTTTATGTATTCTTCTTAAGATTTCTTTAAATTACGCTATTTAAGTACTTCTGTCTCACCATAATACTTTAAACATCTATTAATTCTTGAGCATTTGTTAAAAAAGATAAGCCCAGATAGTAAAGTATATTTTTAATTTTTTTTTCTTTTCATAGGTTTTTCTCATCTCATTTACTGCTACTTTTTTACATGTTAGATCACTTTTTAGTGCCCACCTAGAGTTATGGATGAAATTTTTGATTTTATTTACATTCAGTAGCTCTTTTTTTTTGACTAAAGAGATCTATTCACTAATTATTTGTGTATCATAGTTTGCCTGACATATTTTGTATATAATAAAGCTGCTTTTTCCTCTACTTTAACTATATTATCTTCTTTTAATATATCTACTTCACTTTTATTCAAATTCATTTCTGCTAGTTTGATTCCAATGATTTCTTTTTCTTTGTTTACAACTTCTAGCTTCCCTATATTATTACTTTTTTTTCTTTTTTTTTAGATTGTCTGTCTTTTGTGGGATTTTATTCTCTACTGTATTAATAGCTATTACTGTAGAAATAGTTTGGTTATTGTGAATTTGTGCTGCTCTTTCTAATTTTGTATATGTTGATACTTCTGTTACTTCTTCAAGAAACACAAGCTCTTCTGTTAAAAGTATTTTACATTGCTTTTTTTGTATTTGTAACTAACTGCAACTATCTATTGCACTCAAATTGTTGCAATAAACTCTGGATCTTTAAAACCAAGATATTTTGCTATATTAATATCTGCTTTGAGAGTGATTCTTTTTTGTTTATTATAAATTTCTTGTACTCTTTCTTGTAGTGCTGTTGCTAAATCTTTAATCGAGTCTATTTTCATAGTTTTTGCTATTTACTTGTTTGTAGAGATTGATATAATTTTGATTAAACTTTTCTAGAATATTTCTATGCGTGTCTTGTTTGTTTACTTTTCAACTTTACTAGACATTTAGTTTAATGTTTGTTTACTTCCTATTTTGGTTACATGTTTAAATTTTTTCATACTTGTGTTTGTTTTGTTGTTAGATGATCTGCAAAACTGAGTCTAGACAAATTCCCAATTTTTCAAAAATTTTTTAACAAATTTTGTTGAAAGTTTTATTTTTTCCCTTTAGTAGTAGACTATTTTTGTAGAGAAAAAAACTTTGCTAAATAACTATAATTAATTTTTTAGCTCTATCTTTTTGTTTAGAACTAATCTGTTTGTTGTCTTAGTATAGTTTTGCTTTATTTCTAAAATTTCTTCTGCTCT